CCTTGACCTATTATCATCTCTTTCAGTTTAATAAATAATTTAATTATAGTTGGTATAAATAGAATTACAAACTCGTATTACATAGTTAAATTCAATTTGCAATTTATAAGTGGCATTCAAAAACGATATTCAAATACATTGAGTACATGAGTTAGATAATTAATTAAATATGTTAGTACGTATTATTCATTTGATTAGTTATTTAAAAACAATATACTACATATAATTATTTTTAACATGTTCACAATTTATACTGACAATGAAAAATAGAAACTAGCAGATATTACATTATATTACCACGATTTGGCCGTTCTGCACGTGCGCGACGTCTGTAGCTTGCGTACGGGATATATGTATAGGTACAACGCTTGCGCACAACGCACAGAGTCTGCTCTAAAGTGAGAAACAAATATCATCCGCACCGTAATATTTTTCGAAACTCTCAAGCACAATCAGCAATGTAGGAGTATTACACATATTTTATTTCACACACGTATACCGCTGTGTGGCCAGATTTGAGACACAAACAGCAGCAGCAGCAGCAGGAATGAAAAGATTACCGCATATATGCGCAAGTCACATTGTACATGTGAGCTCCGCGCTTCGCATGTACATGGCTTGCGCATGCGTTGCCGGCGATACATGCCGATATGTGTACATCTGAGATACTAGCCATCTATCGGCAAGAATTTATAAAGTACATCCCAGACGACTGAAATAATTTTCATAGTTTTCATGACATTTCGACTTTAAACTTTAATATCTTTATTTATACAGCATATAGAGCAAAAACAAGCATACTTTTATTATATATTTTGGGTAAGCGCTATCGATTGAGCCTATTTTTAAATCGATCGACTCAGGCATTACTGAGATCCGATAATCTCGGCTCGTCTCAACTTTCGGTCTCGCGTAAAGATACACGGTCGGTCTTGCGCTGCGCGTGAACTTGGCGCGAGACACTGCCGTGTCTCTTGATATGTACCGTTATTTTGGAATACCTTGAATTTAACGTCTTTCTTTTTACAATATATTTATAAGATATAAATATTTTTAGAAACTAAAACGAAAACATTTTACGTTACAAAAATATCTTCTCGGTTAAGGTTTCAAACGGAAGCTTTATGATATTTGAATTCCATTTGAGGGGATGAGTGAAATATTCGAACGCGCGCGCTGGTTTTATCAGATGTAAATTATCGGATTAAAAGTAACCAGATGATTGCGACGCAATTAACGTGTCGTGTCGCAAGTGAGACGCTTCGGCAGTCCCAGGGATGACGCCAAAATTTGTTACGTTCCGGAGTGATTAAACGGGAGATGCATAAGCGCACGGTTATTGCCTATACTTGCCACAGCGCACCGTCATGAAATGCGCGTACAAACATTACTATATTATACGAGGTACATTATAACAAAAACCCAGTAATGCGCGATGGAATGGGCATGTCTGATGAGCGTTATCAAAGCTCACGAAGGCTAGCATAATTATTGATAACCCCTGGTAATTACACACGCGTTTGATTACTAGGTTAGGTTACCGTTCGTCTACAGTATAAGTATAGACGATATATGATTTATTTTTTGTTTACCGCGTATTTGCAACAACTGAAATTGCATATTCAAACACTACTGTTTTTCGACAAGTAATTCATATCGATATCTTTAAGATCGATCGAAAGTTGACGTGCATGCAATGGGGACGCGACATAGAATCACTTATCTTCTTCTTAATCGCTTATCTCGTGCCTTTCTCTCGTCGCGTCATGATTTCAATTTAATAAAGGAAGCCTCGTTCAAAGGCGATAATGTACTGGCGTTTTACCTTCTGCCGACGACGCGAATGAACGCGATGCACACGCGTATGCGCGCAAGTGAGTAGCGTCGCGCAAGAACACACAATGGCGCTCTCCAGTGCGCCGCACAATTGAGAGCGATTCGCAAACACGGGCATAGAAGACCGCGCACAATGGTGAACTTCAATAGTGTCGAGTTATGTACGGTATAGCGGAGAAAAGACATAATCAAATCTCTATATATTGTAAACAGGCAAATCCCAAGTAACTTGCTTCAATCAAAATTCACCGCCGCTCGCCGCAAAGCGGCGCGCGAATGCCATTGTTAATGGCGGTTGCACTTGCATAATTTATAGTTATCTATTATTGTAATAATTCATTATTAACGTCATCAACGTTGAATAAAACATCTACAACGCTTTCATCTGTGAAATTACAGTGGCAAAATTATATTTTAAACAAGTAACTAATAGACAAGATACTCGCAATCTTAATTTTGATGACAAATTTGAAATCGATTTTTTCTTAACGAAAATATTGAAGCACTTGTGGTTTTTTAGTTACAAGTGACTGAAAAGGAAGGCTTTTACAAATTAAGTAATGGAGAAAAAATAGTTGTGAGATGACACGATAATATTGTTCAGTTAATTTCGAGTAGACTACAATAGAATTTTTATTTAAAACTTAATTACAGAGATATATAATGTTAAAAATTGGAAAGTTGTGATAAATGATGATCTGCCTCGACGCTTTCACTGAGGAAAAACTTTAAATTACTCTAAGAAAATTGAAGACGCGCCATTAAAATTACACGCGCAAGTTGTAGAATACTTTGTGCAATGATTAATAAATGTTTGAAAAATATGCGATTTAAAGTGTGGCGGAGCTCGCGAGGTCGTGTTAATTTTGACCCGCTACTCGATACGCGCATATCGTCCCCAATAATAATGTCGGGGATATCACGTGTATGTATAGAATGTATCGCGTTCGTTTTTCATTGCTTGCATACAATCGGACGGGATTCATAACCGCTGTGCGGTGCGCGAGCGGATGAGAGTTGGCTACAGGTGGTCCCGGGCAAATCAATATGTGTACGCGTGTTGAGGTGGATATACGAGAGAGCACCCTTTAACGTTCCCTTACAGTCATCGCCATGGATTTTACGATCTCGGCGGAGACGACAGCGACAATGACAACGGTCTATCGCGCGGCGAAAAATATTTTTCCTTTGCTTCGTCACAAGACCGAACGAGTCTCAGACTCTTTTTTTCTCTCTCTTTCATTAACGCTCGCAAAATATCTCGAGACGCGTCTTACGGTACTTACCGCAGTCTTGGGTAACTTGAGGCTAAATTGGAAAGCTGTGTGAGGTGGACCTGGTAGACGGAAAGGTCTTTGCAACAACAAACTTGCTACAACAAATAAAATAAAAACATCATTTCGAACAAAGTACGAAAATCAAATTAAAGAGGGAGGAGATTTTGATCGAAACAAACTTTTATTACAAACTCATATAAATTATAAATTATATGATGATAACATCTGAACATATATATACTGTATATAAAAAAAAAACAATATAATCATGTAACAGTTAACAGCATGTAACAGTTAATACTATAACGATAGATATGGCAAATGATAGAAGTTTAATTCACGCAGTTATGTAGGTTTCGTAAGTGCTAACATAACTTAAACATAAGAATACTACTATAGTGAAGATCGTTAGAGTGTCGAAAATATATAATGATGTATATACGAGTCAATAAGAATTATTCAAAAAATATATCTCTTTTATATTAATTCTTTTATATTAATTCAACGTCACTGTATTCTTCGTATTCTTCCACGAGCTCTCGTGGATAGCCGATGGCCTGAAAGTCCTCCACCGACAAATATTGTGATGCGAGCTTCAGTAATTTGTATTGTCCGATACATTCCACTATCCATTCGACGAAAATGGGCGCCGCTTTGGCAGTGTAATACCAACGTTCTGAAAAAGAATTGCCTAATATGTTGGCGTGGACTCAAGAAAAACTAGTATCCTTGTATCGCGATAATAGCCTACCGATCATTTCAGTATCATGAGTATTGTACTGGATTACCACGCCTTTCATGCCTCCTTTCTTAGCGAGATCTTCGAGAGAGTCGACCACCGTGGCTCCAGTGGCGAGTAACAAGTCCTAAAAACCGAGAGTATTGTTACACGATGGGTTTGGCCCGGGTCCAATTTTAAATGATGTCGGCTGAACGCGAAGAAAGCGTAAATAAAAATCCTTCCGGTCCAGCGACGCGTACAAAGCATTCGTTTTAATCACTGCCGGAAAAAATGCCGTTGTTCTTCACGACGCATATTAATAGAATTTGCGAGAAGAGAGAATGACGTCTAGATAAGTTTTAGATAAGAAAGTCGGAAGTAAAGATACATCTTTAATTTTGTGACAATTATGATAAAACTAACTTGATATTGGCTGAGCGAGACGTTGTGATACGGTTTAATGCACAAAAACGTGAACCCTTCAAACAGATCCTTTTCGCGCAGTCTGGAATTCCGTGGGCCCTTAACGCCGATGACGCCGTCATTGAATGATGACGGCGACGTAGTCGCTTCGTAGGGAACTTCATTCAGCAGTTTCTCTTGCATGATACAATCCTCGACCCACCTATAGATGACTATCCACTTCCGGTGAGCTATACCTTGGAGATACTTGAGCGTGCTACTTTTGGCTACGTTCCGCTTGCCGGTCGTGTTCACGATGACGTGCGTTACGTTGCGATCGAACTGGTTCACGTAATTCGCGCTGTGCTTCGCCGCGAGTTTCTTCACGAGCGATACTTGAACTTTCGACAAGCTGGTACATAAAAAGCATAGCTGTTGTCTGTCAGACAGGACGTTCTCCGACGTCTTACCATCCGTCTGCTTCGGCAGCAAATTACTACCGATCACTATAGTTTCCTGTTTGCTGTATAGTTTCCTGCTCTGCCCGGATACGGTGGGACGCGCTATTTTTGGCGTGCTTTCATACAGCGGCATCGTAAGAATAGAGCTACCGCTCGTAATCGTAATCGCTGATAAACGTGATGTACTTTTCCTCGATTCAACTGTTTTTATGTTGCTTTCGCTACTGCAATATTGCGCTATTTTTGGCGTGCTTTCATACAGCGGCATCGTAAGAATAGAGCTACCGCTCGTAATCGTAATCGTTGATAAACGTGATGTACTTTTCCTCGATTCAACTGTTTTTATGTTGCTTTCGCTACTGCAATATTGCAATGTTATTTAACACATCATTCTACACTACAATAATTAAAGAATAATAATAATAATAATAATAATAATAATAATAATAAAAATAAAAAACAGTCAGAATTGTCCTTTTCTCTCAGCAATTGCGAATATGAATTTTATTTTATTAACTGTACTTCAATGTGTATTTGCGAATCGATGCAAAACAGATGCATCAAATACTGGCTATCGTTTAAATCACAAAAACTGTACGCGTGTGTACATATAATTCTGAATATTAAATAACATTTATTTTATTATTTTTTCAACCGCTTATGTTTTTCGCAACGTTTTAAATATTTTGCAGCGCTACATTCGAGGCCAAATGAAGAAGGACAGTTCTGGCCATTTTATTGTAAATCATGTAGCACAGTGCTTACATATTTACAATATGTACAAGCGTATTACCAAAGTAGCAAAAGCGTTTAAGCGCACTCACAAAGTGTACTGTGAGGCGGAAAAAGGTTTAAAACGAGTACTTACCTTTTTCTCGTTCTCTCAGGAGTGTTCTCCACAATGTCGTCTTCTTCGGCATGGCGTCCCTGCGTTTAAAAGTATCGTGTGATTCTTCATACGCTACATTATGTGACAAGCTCTCGTGTTGCAAAACCGAAATGCATGACAATTATAAATAACAGTGAGCTAACTAAATGAAATGAGATTGCAAGTGTTATAGCGCAGGCTTGCGAGGGACGAGATAATATATAGGGGAATAGGCTATTTCATAATTCTCTGCTGCCGTGTAATGCATCCTCCTGTAATTTCGCATAGACTGACGCGTACACATATGTAAAGCAACTGGCTTTATAAAAAGAGCCGTAAAACGTTTATAGCGCAAAAATTTAGTGGAATCTAAAATGTTGGTATTAGTATATTTAATGCCACAGATTAAATTTTTCGAGCACGCGAGAAAATTAATTACACGAATTATTTCAGTGAGATAAAACTTCCTTCAATTTCTGGAAAATGCGTGTACAACGTATCTCTATTATTGCATGCGCAATAAAAAATAAGTCATGCAGAAATTGTACTCAAATGTAAATTCAATTAGTTGCAACTGTTTTTCTTTTTCTAAAGAATTTGTTGCAATGTGAGGCAGACAAATATCATTTTGAGATAACAAAGGCATTAAAAAAGCATGATGAAAAACATGCAATATACCGATTAAAAATAGATGAAGAGTGTCATACAACAATTGTGTAAATAATAAACTTACTTCTGCCGCTGCATTTTCGTCTCTGTCATTTAGCTTTCTTCTTTTCGGAGTGCGCTGCTCCTCTCGATCGTTCTGGGAAGCCATCTTCGGTGTCGTTTTTCGTGTAGACGAGCTGCTGAATAGATCCTGCTCAAAGATTTGCAGGTGAGCCTGATCTGATTTTTACCCAATATTCCCGCTATTACTGAAAAACATATTCGTTATTTTATGGTTTAATACTCGAAAGACGGAAAAATTTCGGATCGATGCTTTGGCGAGCAATGTTCGACACGAATTAGTATTACGAATGTCGAGAAACTGGTGATCGAACGCACAAAATAATACTCTACGACAATCGTCACTCGATTCCAGACTACCGACATAACCATGACACGATGAAAAAATTCAAGAATATATATAGAGACACCTTCGGACTGACGCTTGGCGTTTCGACAAGCAATGTTCGACATGACGCGACGAATGCGATTTGATGATTCGGCGAGCAATGTCCGACATAACACGACGAACGCGACTTGACGATTCGGCAATATTCGACATGATACGAGCGCAATTGTCTTTACGAACATCGAGAGACTGGTAAACGCGACTGCACGCATTGAATAACGGAGGCAACTTCGGACCGACGCTCGGTGATTTGGAAAATAATGGCCGACGCGACGCGACTGACTTTCCAAGTGCCGAAAGACTGATAATCGCGATTGCGCACAGTAAATAACATTCCGCAACAATAGCTCGTCCTTTGATTCGACTCTCCCGACATTTGTTGCGAATAATATTTATTTCAATAAACATAAACGCGCGTAAAATACAGGACGATACTTACTCACATCCAACACCACCGCCGTCTTCTCGCGAACTACTTCGTGACGCGAATAGATCTCGTGACGTCACGATAATCACGTGATCCGCGTGATCGCGCTCAATTCAGATTCAATAAATAATTTATTTATTAAATATATAATATATTTATATATTTATAAATTCCGGTAAATTCAAGAGTTCTTTTAAACTTAATTTAAATAATTTTTACAAATATATCAATTTTTTTGTCCTATTCTTATCATTAATATTATTTAATTGCTGACATTATTTTTACCTTGTAATAAAAATAGTAATATACAAAATATCCTACATCATTAATTAATTTTTTTAATAATATTAAAATAAAACAAATTAAATTGACTTACCGACAGGATGCGCAGCAGGAGTTGTTCACAAGTTAATCTGTACATACAAAATACATTCAAATTATATACAGCAAATTATTAAAAAACAATTATTATGCACATTAAACTTTTATTCATTTATCATGCAAATATCTATTAAAAAAGAATTATATGTTTATATTTAATAGATAACCATAAATATTAAGAATTACAGTTTTTTACTGAAAGAATTAATTTCAAAGTTTTTATGCGTGTTACATTGTATGATTAATATTTTACATGCAATAGTTTGCAAATAACATAACAAATAAATGATTACTTACCCTAAAGTTGCTCCGCCGGCGCCCGATGCCTTTCCTGAGCCTTTTCCTCCTCCTCTCGGACTTTCTTCCAGTTTTTTAAAGCACTCACATGCGTTCGCGAATACAAAAATCGCACGACGTTTTAAACGATACTCCCGCGTACTTTGTCATTCGGACAAAGTAAAACTCGATTATATTATCGCACGGATTACACGTTCGACACTTTCCACAATATGTAACGACGGAAAAAAATAAGATGAAAAACTGTGGGAAGTGGCAAGAGTATTATTGGAGAGGATAACACGCCGATACGGAATAGTGTACCTCGTACAAGTGTCGCCGTGCGAATGATGATAGGACAATAATAGGGTAACAATAAATAGAACAAGCACAAGATCGCGCCGATGAAGAATTTGGAGAATGTGGGAAGTAGAGAACAACAACACTCATGCCGATACATAGCGTGCGAGAAGGGAGAGGATATGGAGCGCGCGACTAAGCACAACAAACAACCCCACCACACACGCCGTGAGTCGGTCTCAAAATTATTAGAGCATTTATCAAATATTTATCGAAATCGACTTTAAATTCGATTTCAATAAATATTCAATAAATGCTATAATGTTTTGAGACCGACTTGCGGCGACTGGTGAGGTTGTTTTTTGTCATCGCGCCCAGCCTGAGCTCTATATCGCTCTTTCTTACGTCCTATGTATCCACATGTACATTATTGAACTACATGGAGAAAATTTTATATAAAAAATTACTATATACGGCATTAACCGTGGACCATGAAGCCGCAGACTGAAATTTTTTACTATGTTTCACATGTAAAAAACATAGTAAAAATTTTTATAATTCCTTCATGGTCCACGGCTACTACCGTACGTAGTAATTTTTTATATAAAATTTTCTCCGTGTACACTCTCCGCATTCTCCAAAATCGAAATCGGCACGACTTTGTCTTTTATATGTTCATTGCCTTTTTATCATTCGCACGGTGGCATCTCGTATAAAACAGATCGTTCCGTATCGCATGATTCTCTGCAATAGCATTATTATTTCCCGCAGTTTTCGATCTCACTCTTTCCGTTGTTACGGATGCGACAGTGTGTCGAATGTGTAATCCGTGCAAACTTTACTTTTGTCCTAATATGACAAAACACGCGTCAAGCCGTTTCAAATATTGTGAAATTTTTGTATTTGCGTCATAAATGCGTGTGAGTGCCTTAAAAAACTGTAAAGAGTACTGAGAGCAGGAGAAGGCTCAGAAAGGGCATCGTGCGCCGGTGGAGAGTAACTTTAGGGTAGTAATCATTCATTCCTTATCTGTTTGTTATTTGCAAAATATTGTACGTAAAATATTATCTATGTAACGCACATAAAAAATTTGAAATATTTAGTAAAAGATTTGTAATTTTTAATATTTTTGGTTATCACATATAAATATATGATTCTTTTATTAAATATTTGCATAAAAAGAAATAAGTAAAAGTTTAATGTGCGTGATAATTATTTCTCAAATGATTATTTTAAACGCTGCTATAATTTGAACGTACTTTGTATGTTACAGATCAATTAGTGAACAACTCCACTGCTGCGTATCGTGCCGGTAAGTCTAATTTGTTTTATTTTAATATCATTAATCGCTATTTATCAATCAATATTATTTATTTTCAACAAACTCCGAATTTAATCCCACCCGAAACAGTATAAATACGAATATTAATTTCTATTTGCTTTTAACAATATAGAATTCAAATTATTATTTATTATAAAGAAATATGTGCCACTTGTTATAGCATAATCATTTGTAATATAATATATACCATAATATACCATATACCATAATAGCAATAATAATAATATATCATATGTGCCGATTATTATGAAAGTGGCCTAAGTCACAAAACCAAAAAAAAAATGAGATTTTTATTTAGTGTAATATTATATCAACTATATTTCATTATTATGGAAGAATTTTTGCAAAGTTACCATGAAATAAGCAATAAAATGAAGTTGTCATTTTCATTATTATCAGATGTAATTGCATGCTTATTTTGAAAGTGGCATAAGTCATTTAACGGTTAAAAACACACAGTTTCGTGCAAGTCATTCGTAAAATTTAATGATCTTACATAAATTTAACATCAGGAGAATATTATAATTTTTGATAAATTTTGCACCATGATGGAAAAATATTTTTAATATGGTCAAACGCAAAAGTTTGAATATCTCGAAACGAGAAATATGTATATGACTTAGGGCACTTTCATAATAACCGGCACATATAGCTGATTGTTTCAAATAAAACAAATAATAAGCAATATCAAAAAAGACAAATAAAGTCAAGATATTATAAATGTGATGAAAATATTAAAATATATTTTATATATGAAAATAAAATTACTCATAATAATAACTTTAAAA